ACAGCACCATCAGGCCTCCCCAATCATGCCCCTGCTGTGTTTGAGACCGATGGCCTCGAGACAGGAAAAGAACAGATGGAGACAGCAAGCGGAGATGAGGGCAGAGACGTTCTCCACAAAGACGTACAACACTGGGGAAATTAACACTGCGGAAAACGGACGCGGACTATATCCTCTACCTTATCACCGAGGGAACCTGGAAAGCTGGTCTTCCACGGCAGGAAAGCCTCCACTTCAGTAAGTTAGAGGTGAAGTCCCAGTACATGATCCTGCTTTAAATATTCCCACGGATTCTCCCCTAACAGCTGTGCTGCCTTAAGGTGAACACAGGGTTGATCGTATCTCCTTATAGAAGCAACCATGATCCTTTTCTCTCTTCCCGCCGTGACACCCAACCCCCTCCTACCTTCCCCCAATGCAGGTATTAAGTTTCCCCACCATGAGCTCAGGGCCCTTACTGTAGATGCCACCCACCTCGTGACGTATGTAACTACTGAATATGCATGTCTTGTGGCCACCTATAAATATCCCAAGACAGTGAAGACACACTATTCTCCCAGTTCCACATAGAGCATCCAGAGGGGCTGAGGTGAGCATGCTACCATGAAATGTGTCTGACGCCTTTAGGTTACTCTCCTATCTTTCCTATCCTCGATGACTTTACTATCATCTTTATACATTATCGCCGTACAATCGCGCCCACTGACCCTTCCGCTGTTGGAGGCTGGTTTCCTCTGACGCACCACCAAGGGCCATACCAGCACCCCAACATCTAGCCTCCTACAGGGGCCGGTCCCTGGAGGAGGACACGCACGTCTGGTAAGATAGAACGTCAACAAGAACCATGACCGTCTCTGTCTGGGAAGCAGTACAGCCAGCATGCTCCTTCGAGGCAAGCATGGCTCGACTTCATCCCACGTGCTCTGGACATGTTGTCAGGAGAGACCAGTCCCTGGAGGAGGACGTCCTGCTTGGTAAAGTGGAGCGTCAGCGAAACAGAGGAAGGTCCTGGACGAGGTGGTGGCATCACTGGGCTCAACCACCACCACAGCAGCAGCAAGGAGGACGCAGGACAGGGGGCAGTATGATCTTGTCCTGCACATGGGGTCGCTATGGGTTGGACCCTACTGGACTTGGACTGCGCCTAGCGATGACAATGACGGCATGTCCTTTTGTTTGGTTTTGTACATTGCTGTTGAGCCGACTCCAGCCTCACGGTCACTGGCCCCACTGGGCATCTCCAAACTGCGGGGGGGGGGGGGTGTCACAATCATCAGAAAGACCAGGTGGACCACTCCGATAACCCTGGTGGGTTCCCCAAGACCGTGGCCCTCCGTCACCCTGCAGATCTGGAAATAAATTCACCCCCAGGGTTCGATTTTCAGTCACACAACCGTGGTGGTGGTGAGGCTGCCACGGGGCGGTTCCAACTCACAGTGACCCCGGGCCCAACAGGAGAAAGCACCCCTTGTCCTACATCCTCCTCACAGGGGCTCTTCTGTCTGAGCCCATGGTTGCACCCAGCTGGCAGAGTTTTCTTCTGTTCTGATGCCTCCCCACTCTCCCAAGCATGATGTCCTTCTCCAGGGACTTGGTCTCTCCCGACCACGTGTCCAAATGATCAGAGGTGAACCTTCACCCTCCTTGCCTCCCAAGCAGCATCTTGGCCACGTCTTCCAAGACAGACTTGCAGACAGGTCTGTGAAGGGCAACATGAGCCCTAGTGAGGTGCACACACCTTCAAATAAAGAACCACTGGAGACCCAAAGGGCAGCGCTGATCCCAGGGCGGCGTTCAGAAGGGGTAGGGGAGTGGAGGGGTGGAAACAGGAGACACGGGGCGGAAGTGGGATGAGGGATGGAGAGTTGGGTGAGCTGGAACAAGATGTGCCTTCAGGGTTGAAACTTAGCCTGGTGATCTGTTCTGTAGACCTTCCCCGAAGTCGCCATAATACGGTGTTTGGGGGTGGGGTGGGGGAAGAGGAGCTGATACCAAGGGCTCAAATAGACGAGATGGGGTGTGTTCAGGGTGGTATGGATGTAGACAAGAACTCAAATAGAAAGTAAATGATGATGGCAACCTATGTACAAATATGCTTGATACAGCGTATGGGAATGTTATAAGAGCTGTCAGAGCCCCAATCAAATGACTTTTAAAAAAATGGTGGGGTTTTGTTTTTTTTTTAACCAATAGATTCCTACGCGGGCAGGTGTCAGTTATCAGTCGGCGTGCAGGGGGGTCGGGGGATGGGGGTATCAGGGCTGGCTGGGGGCATCTGTACCTGGTGAGGATGAGGCTGGAAGAGTCCTTGCCCTCGGGGGGCCTGGCGATCAGCAGAATGTCTGGGAGCCCCAGGCTGGGCAACGTGGAGGCCACGCCCATGGTCAGGCGGTTGCTGTCATGATGTAGGTACACTGGACCCCCTTGGTGGGTGACCTGCAATGGCCAGGGAGAGGGGCTGGGACCACACCTTTCCCGACCTCTACCCGAACCAAAAGGCCAAGCTGAAGGCCGTCCAGCTGGGGGCTGGGGTCCCCCCGGGGGCTGCCAGGCTGAGTTTTTGGGAGTGGGGGATGAGGTCTTTCTTCTAAGGCACCTTGTGGGTGGGCTGGACCCTTCATGGGCAGCCAAATGCACCACCCCGGACTTCAGGTCCAGACCCTCTCCCCACCCCAAGTAAAAAGAGCAGCAGTCTCCTGCAAGCCGATCCTGGCTCAGGGCGACTGTGGGTGTCAGATGGACCCATGCGCTCCACACACACACCACCCCTGTCTGACCCCTGGGAAAGGAGCCCTAGTGGCTCCGTGGGTAAAGCATCGATCAGCTGAGCACCAGGTCAGCAGTTGAACCCCACTCAGGGCTCCGCACTGCGCTGGGTCAATCTGCTGCCCAAGACCTCCTTGAGGTGTTGAAAAGCAAGGGGGTGACTGAGGACTAGGGCACACCGGACCCCAGCCGGGGTCTCTTCGATCACCTCCCGTGCGTGTGAGAGTGGGACATGGAAGAGGCAGCCCGAAGAAGAATCGTTGCATCGGGACCACGGTGTTGGCGAGGAATGTGGAATGCACCCGGGACGGCCAAGAGAACAAGCGAATCTGCCGTGGGAGACGTACAGCCGGAATGCTCGTTAGCATCGAGGCTTGGTCTCACCACTTTGGACAGGTGGTCAGGAGGGACCAGTCCCTAGGGAAGGACAGTGACAGAGAGGAAGGCCCTCAGCAAGTTGGACAGACACCGTGGCTGCAGCCATGGGCTCCGACACAAGAGGCAAGGTGAGGAGGGTGCCGGCGTGGGTGGCGTTTCTCGCTGTGCATCAGGGGACCGGTCTACTCTGTCCTTTAGGGCCAAGACAAGTCAGCATCGACTCAATGGCAGTGGATTTTTGTTCTGGCTCTTTGGTTTGGAAAAGAATGTCGCTGACGTGGTGGGTCAGGCTCTGGGCTGCTAACCACAAGGTCGGTGATTCAAAACCACCAGCAGCTCCTGGGGAGAAAGATGAGGCTCCCTGAGCCCATGAGGAGGGAGAGCTCCGGTAAACGCCATACAGGGTCAGGATGCGACCGGGGAAAACCCGAGGTGGGGTTCTGCCATTTGGAAAGGAGTCTGGTGGCACAGTGGGTTAAGCACCCAGCTGCTAAACGAAGGGTCGTTGGTTCAAACCCACGAGCCCACTCAGCCGAGAGCCTTGGAGCTCAAACCCTTGGCCCCAGATCTGCTGCAACAGGGTCTGTCCAGACAAACCGCGTCTGACCCCTCTATAAAGGGCCTGTCCTGTCCTGAGGGGGCTTGGGAGCCTCTAAGCCCATGGGTTGGTTTGGCCTTCGAACCCTTTGGACACAGATCATCAGACCTTCCTTCTGAGGCTCCTGAGGGTGGTCACAGCGTGGTTCCACCCCAACCCGCTCACCCACCCACCACCACCCGCCCCCCACCCCACCTAACCCTGCCCCTGCCCAGCCCGCTGTCAGCCCCAGGGCGAAGGGAGCCTGGGACCTGAACAAAGTTACTCTCGAACATGGGCAGCGGGTGCAGGGGCAGGTACTCGCCCTTCTGAAGCGTTTTCTGCAGCTCCCCCAGGATGGGGACCCACTTGGGGGGGCCCTGGAGGAAGTCAAAGAGCCCCAAGTTCCGCAGCCTCTTCATGGTGGCCGCTGGAGGGCCGGTGGGGCACCGGCCAGAGATCCAGGGCCCGCCCCGCCGGGCCCCTCAGCCCTCGAGTTCTCACGGGTGCTCAGTGCCCACAGAGGGTGGGGCTGCCCGGGGGGCTGGGGGACGAAGGCCGGGGCCATGCCCGGGAGGGAGGGCAGCAGCGCGAGGCCGGCGGGGGAGGGGCGGAGCCTGCGGGGGAGGGTCATTGTGACATCGTCAGAAACCAGGATTCTCCTGGGAACCCTCAGGGTGCCTTCTCCTCCAGGCAGACAGCCTGGAGCCCTGGGAAGGGTCTACCCCCCATCCAGACCCCAACCAATGACAAGTTAGAGTCCCTGGGCTGCTAACTGCAAGGTCAGCAGTTTGAAACCCTAAGCCGCTCCGTGGGCGGAAAGATGAGGCTTTCTCCTCCCGTAAAGAGTTACAGCCTTGATATGTAAATGACTTGCCATTAAAACTGTTGGGGGCAAGAAGAAAATTTTTTAAAGTATATTAATCTTTTAAATGCTCCAGGAAAAAATATTCTTCCAATAATATTTACTCTGAATAGATTGTAATATATATATTACAATCCAGGAAACGCCCTATACTGCCCTATAGCATCGCTCAGAGTTAGCAGGGATGCCATAACGTGAGCTTGCTTTGTTTGGGGTCTTTAAAGGAAGGGCCCTGGTGGCACAGTGAGTTAAGCATCCCAGGGGTTTGAGCCCACCAGCTGCTCCACTGGAGAAAGAGGTGCCATCTGCTTCCATAAAGATTTACGGTGCTGGAACCCCTGTAGAAACCAGACCCAGCTTTTCACAGGCTCTGTGATTCTGAGTCTGAAGAGAAACCAGAGCACAGAGATCCCACAGTACGCTAGTCTCCATAGGCCTTCTAACCTCTTCTACTTTTTTTCTAGTGGGATTTATCCGGCTGCATAAATATGAAAACTACAAGGGGGTACCCCCAAAAACCCAGATTTGCCCCCAAAAGCTATGTGTTTAATTTCTTGTTAAGATCACCTTCAAAGTACTCTCCATACACTTCATACATCAAGTCTGCGATTCCATTCTTAGAAACATTTTGTTCAAACTCATCTGTTCGGATGGCTGACAGCTTCTGCCTCGTTTTTTTTCTTCTTCACCTCTTCTATGTCTACAAATCGCAGAAACAAAAGTAAGTCGCACAGAGCGAGGTTAGGTGAGTCAGGTGCATGCTGCAAGAGAGGCATGCTGTTTTTTGCCAAGCCTGGTGCACTGAGAAGGCTGCATGAGCAGGTGCTTTGTCGTGGTAGCCAAACCAGTCCCCCTGTCTGCCACAAGCCAGGCTTCTTGGGGGTCACACACTGTTATGCAATCTTTTCCGAAGCTCTAAATAGAAAGCTTGATCAACAGTCTCACCTGGTGGAATGAACTCCAAATGCACTACAAGTTGACATTTGTATCTGTTCAGGAAGTTGACGGATGTTCAGAACGAGGCTTGTCATCAATCGACATGTTTTGGAAATGAGAAAACCACTCAGGCACTTGAGTTTTTCCCATAGCGCTGTCCTTGTAAGCGGTGTTCATCGTCACAACAGTTTCTGCGGCATTTTCCCTGAGTGGGACACCATTTCACAGCTGCACACTGTTCTTTTAAATCAGCCACTCCCCCAAAACGAGGTTCAAGCAAAACTGCTTTTATAAAAAAATTCACTGTGACCAGAAAGAACCTTCCCAGGTGACACCACTGGATGCACTAACTCAGAGCACGTTGCCTGATGCTTGCCTAGTGGGAAAACATTCCGACTAAGAAAGCTCTGTCCAGCAGAGCTTGTTTCCACTGTGTGTGTGTTTTTGGGGGGTGCCCCCTCTTACTTATCACATATGATGATGTACGATTATTACTATTTTTAAATTTACAATGATTAAAATTAAATTAGAGACAAAACAGCCAAACACCATAAGCAACCCACTCTGCCTTCAGGCTCTTTTGGAAACCCTCTGGGGTGCCCCGCTCTGTCCTGGGGGATTGATGTGTGTCAGAATGGGCCCCCGCCATAGTGAGTGTGTGGTCCGAAAAGCACATCGTCTTTGCTTTTAAAATGTGCCGTGCAAAGCACATGGTCCTTGTAGAAATCCAGGAAAACACAGACAAAGGAAATCATATCAATCATTCACCATCCAACCCTCACTGTCAATTTGAGGCGGGAAGCCTGGGCACACGAGGGTGCTTTTTCTTACAGAACTGTCTTTTGGGTTTGTTTTAAACTTTTTGCTGTGAATGAGTTGAAGGTTTACAGAGCAGACCACTGGTCTGACGGTCAACAACCACACACATTTGATTTCAATTCATCCAACGCCGTCCCTCCAGGCAATACGGGCGGGCCACTTCCTCCCCGTGTTCCTGTTTCCACCCCTTCTGAACGCCATCCTTGGGGCAGCGCTGCCCTGTTGGTCTCAAATGGTTGCTTATTTTAAGGTGTGTGCCCCTCACGAGGGCCACTTTTCCCTTCAGACCTGTCTGCTGCTTGAAGACTGAGCTGTGGGGGTGAGGCAGGTCCCAGATCTGAAGGGTGATGGAGGGCCACAGTCTCAAGGGGTCCACCGGTCTCTCTCTGACGGTAATCCTGCTCCGTTTTGTGATTTTGAGTTTAGTTCCACATTTTTCTCCCCCACCCCACCCTCATCCAGGAAATTCTAATGTGACCCTCTTCAGAGCAGGTGGTGCTGTGGATTAGGAGTTGATGTGCTCACCACAAAGTCAGAGGTTCAAATCCACTAGCTGCTCCTCAGGAGAACAATGGAGCTTTCTGTTCCCATAAAGATCTAGGGTCACGATGAGAAGGGATCAACTAGAGAGTAGAGGGTTTGAGGTCAGAGCAATTGACAGTTGTGGTGGTTACATCATTTCATGTCAACTTGATAAATAAGTGTACGGGGTGGAGTCTAGCCTGTTAATCAGGTCACTGCCTGATGAAGCCTCCTTGTGGGCATGGCCTTCTCATGAGGATTCTGGGAACTTCCTTTCTATCTGCCTTGTTCTTCCTGTTGACAAGCCACATGGAGACTTGCTGAGACCTGGAAGAGCTCTCTCTCTCTGCTTCACCTTCCTGCTGAGGAGCCAAGTGGAGGCCAGTGCTGAGATGCTTCCACTGACATTGGATCCACAAGACTTTTCACCCACCGGCCTGTGATCTTCCTGCATTTGACATCAATGCATGTTCTGTGTGAGTCTGAAGAGGAATTTATGGACTAGTATTGGACGTATGGGCTAATATGGGACTTGTGAACTTGATATGGAGTGGGCAGGGATGTTTTCTTGATATCCAATTACTCTTTGATATAAAACTCTTTCTTATACATGTGCGTGTCCTTGGATTTGTTTATCTAGTCAACCCGGACTAACACAGCAGGGGTCTATATTTTTTCCCTTTATATACAAACTCACTGCCATCAAGCCAATTCTGACTCAGAGTGAACCTATAGCACAAAGTAGAACTGCTTCTGTGGATTTTCAAGACCGTAATTCTCTATGGGAGTAGAAAGCCTCCTCTTTCCCCTGGGGAGTGTCTAGTGGTTTCTAACTGCTGATCTTGTGGCTATCAGCCCAATAACCCAATACACCACCAGGATATATATATATATATATATATATATACACACACACACACACATAAGCATATACATATAGATATATATGTTGTTGTTATAAGGAGCTTTAGTGCAATTCTTTCCTTAATATGGCCCTCCTGCTATATATAGTCTTTGCTACTCTCACACAGTGATTGGGTGGGACTATGCAAATCAGGTGCCAAGAACTCTAATGAGGGATTGGTCAGTTTTGCCATCTCTCTAGGGTTAACGTGGACCATCCCAAGGGTTGATGGAAGAAACTCACTACCACCAAGAAGAGTTGAATTCAGAATGCATCCTTTGGACGGGGGTCCCTGGGCTGAGAACCTCCTAGACCCAGGAGGCAGAGCGAGGCTGGGACAGAGAGCTGAGCCCCTGGAGATGGACCAAGTCAACAAGAAGCAGAGGCAGAGCGGGCCTGTGTTTATTACAGTGCTGTCTGTAATAGCACAAATGTGGAAGCAACCAAAGAGCCCATCTGTGGGGGAACGGATAAACAAACTCGGGTCCATGCACACAATGGAATATTGTTGTTGCTGCTGCTGCTGCTGCTGCTGCTGCTGCTGCTAGGCGCCGTTGAGTCAGTTCCGACCCACAGCTACCCTGGGCACAACAGAACGAAGCATGAGTCTGGAGACGGATTGATGGACTACATCGGAACGGGGCTGGGATATTTTCCTGATATAGCACTACTTCTTGCGATCACAAGATAGCAAGATATTTTCCAGATATAGCACTACTTCTTGCGATCAAACTCTCTCTTACGCACCTATGAGTGTCAACCCAGCCTAACACATTAAAGAGACGAGTCACAACCTTAGAAACCCTCCAGATCCCTTACTCCTCAGACCTAAACACTGGTCTGAGCGGCTACAAAAGGAGAGAAGGTAACACGGGAACAGACTTCAATTCTTTTGTGACACACGAGCTAGTTATCACACAAAAAGAAAAAGAAAGCCGTGGTGGAGAAATGGCAGGACCAGAAGCAGGAGGTGAGATCGACGTGGAGCAATGAGTTGACAGCAGGGCGCTCCTGTGGGCACCAGGCTTCCTGCGGAGCACAGTGACCCAGGGCACGTAACAGTGAAGCTAAATGAGCTTTGAAACACTTTCCTGAGTCGGGCAGGAGCCAGGGGAGCCCAAGACGGTGAAAGACCGAGAGACTGAGGGCCCTCCTGACCAAAGAACTTTACCCTAAGTATTCCTGTTCCTGAATTGTAAGCCGTTTCTTCCCTAATAAACTCGCACAGCTGTGAGTGCCTGTGGGAAGCAGAGGATTGGGAAGAGAGTATAGGTGGACAAATTCTGGATTCTCATATTTTAAGAAGCCTGGAAGACCAGGATTCTCAGGTGGAGGGAGGCCTTCACACTTGTGAGTTAGAGATGAGTCCCATTCACATAATTAATATTGATCCCCACACAATCCTCCCAAGGTAGTGCTTACCTTAAGTTACCTCTTACGAACACACGGCTGACTGCTGTCTGGCCGCCAGCTTTATCTATAGGAGCAGACATGTACTATTGCTCTCTAGGCTCTGAACACAGCCACTCCCCCTGACCTGCCCCAGCACTGGGGTTTAGGCTACTCCCCCAAGGAACTCAGGGACCTT